TATATTGTAGATCTGAAAGTTCCTGAGAGTAGATCTTAAAAGTTCTCATCACAAGGAAAAAAAATTGTAGCTACGTGTGGTTAACTTATTGTTATCGTTTTGCAATAAATACATACATCAAATTATGTTTGTCCTAAAACTAATACAATGTTATATGTCAATTATATATCAATTAAATTTGTTAAATAAATTTTTCTTTTTGACCTTGGAAAAGTTATTCATAGTCTTTGTTCATTAGTTTCCTTATTCATAAACAGTTGAGAATAATATTACCTAGAATTGTGATGCACTTATTCTAAGTTATGGAGTGCTATATGTACATAGCTTGCTCAAGTTGTTACATTGTTGACAAAAGAGTCTGAAGGATGCTAGGCTGAAACTTTCCAAGTTTCTTTCAGCTCTAAAAGCTGTGGAATGCTATTATATAAGAAACAAGATGAACAGAAACATTTCCCCTGAAGTTATAAATCTAGATTTACATATGAAGTAAGGTTTACCAAGTACAGGCTCTTAAAACTGTGTTTTTTATGACATATACACTATTCAGGGATAATTCATAATTTATAAGGATTTCCTATGTAAAATGTAATAGCTGTATTTCCTTGCTGATTTCAAACAATATCTTCTGCTTTGCACTGTAAGGATGGTACAGAGGGGAATGAAAAGGTTGGACTTTTTTAAATCAATAAAGGAATCCCACAATATTTCTATTTTAAATTATGTAGTTTCAAAAATGTTATACCAGGATATAGAAGTTCTTTAAAAAATTTAAGCAGATGTCAGCCTCTTTTAAGGGGGGTTGTCCACTAAAATCTGTTCTCTCAGTCTTCTATGATAATGAAATTATAGGCAAAAGCTCTACAGCTTGACTATATTTCTCAGCCTCCTTTGAAGTTAAATGGGTTATATGACGAAGTTTTTCCAATAGAATGTATCCAGGGGAATTTGTGTTATTTTCAGATCTGGGCAAAGCTCTTCCAAGTTTTCTTTCTCTTGACCCTATGCTGAAAGCTGGATCTGGAAGTAACCTATTTTTACCATGCACATGAAACAATGACCCAGTGTAAGACAGAGGAACATTATAACAGGTTCTGAGACCCTGGATGACCATGTGGAGCAAAGATTCCTGACATCCTGAAGCCCCTGAATCAGACATATTTTGTAACAGAGAAAAAGGAATTTTCCACTGTTTTTGTCAATGAATTGTTGGATTTCTTTGTTCTTAGCAACAGTTTTCACCATAACTAAAGGCAGATCTGTTAAGTTTACAATACAAATTTAAAAAAATAATAATAATAAATTAAATACAATAGTTTATATGTTTAAAATTCTAAAATCAAAGATAGGGTGAGGAGACCTGGAAAAATGAAAGGCCAAGGAAAACTTTTATCAGTCCCAAGTATGAAATAGGAGATAGATTGTTGTTCAAATTTCTCCTTCAAAGAGCTCAGTTTTTTAGTAGAATGCTTAACATTCAGACAAGAATCAAGCACCAACAAACTCACAGTTGGCCCTTCTCAAATTTTCTCTAAAGCATGACAGATGTCTGAGAGTTTGGGTATACAAAAGGACTGTCTTACTAATAAGTTATCATGAAATAAGCAAAGATTAGATTCTGAACATGTAGATGAACAAAGTAGATTCTGAACATGAATTTTACAAGCAAAATCTGCTATACACTAAACACAATGTAGTTTAATTCTGATCATTGAGAGATGAAAATCTTATTTAAGCTTAAAATTTGAAATTTGAGCATGATTGATCCTTATAAAGTCAGAAGTGGTTATTATCTAAGTCCTTCCTTGGTCCATTATTTCCAGTACCTAAATATATTCATATACTGTCTATATCAGATGGATAAGATATATTTCAAAAATCAAGTTTATAGTAGAAAATGAGAATTTGTAATGATTAATCACTAAACAGAAAGATTAATAAATTGTGTCATTCATATGTGAAGATTTTGTGACAAATTCTCAGTGAAAATCTGTTCCTTTTAGCGAAACAGAGAATGATATTTTGGCAGTGGCATCAAAATCACGCTAGTAATTATTTAGTATGTACTGATCATTCAGTTTATTAAAAAATTTGGTATTAGTTTCATCATGGCAATACTCCTAAACTGACAAACCTATGTCTAAGACTAAATGAGACAAAAAATGCTTTCCAGTATTCTTCTAATATGTTATAAATATTATAAATATGTTCAAGAAGTTTAGCAAGGATAACTTGTTCTATGATCTATATAACATACTCATTCCGTATTGCTTTGACTTATATATAATTTTATAGAGGAAAAGATAAAGTATGGTTTTGTGAATAGCAGCCATAAAAAATGGTGTTTAAAAATGCCAGTCGTTCTCACTAAATTTGTTTGCTAACATGGCATATTTTTATCGCTTGTTTCTATAAATTATAAGCCCTCTTCATTGCACAACAAATTATGAAAATAAAATGTCAAGGTATGATAATCTAAAGTTTTGGTTTATTTTAGATCAAAATAGATCCTACATCAAACTTTTCTAAAATCAACTTTACCCACTTCTTTAACAGGCATATATTTTGATATCACAAACATCTTTTATATTATTACATGATGCTTTATCGGTTATCAGCAGAGAATTTCAACAAAGTTGAAATATATTAGCCTTAACCCATCTTCTGGGACATTTTGGTTTCAGAATTTTTTTGAGGAATTACGCTTAAAAGTTGTCCTCACTTTTTTGTATGTGTACCTCATTCCTTTACAATTTTTTTTTACATACTTACATTGTACATGATTTTAAGACAAAAGGTGCATAAAAACTATGTAAACTAAGTATTTTGCTTGCTTGTTGAAGATTCCCAATTTTGACACGTGGCAAATTTTGATGCATTATTCCCTTATTATATAGGGCTTTACCTCCTCTATTTATTTATAAGGAGTGAAAAATGTCAACTCTTTCATAGAATATATTTCTCTGCTAATATAAAGTCATATAGGAGCAAAATACAGAAAGCAAAGTGTCAGTAAAATATGCATTTACGACTTTCACATTTTAGATTGTAATTCTCATTGATAGACCACTTACTTTGATGCAGGCATTCTACATATAACATCTCAATAAAATTTTTATATTTTGAGGTAGAGGTTGTGCTCATTTTAATGATAAGAAAACTAAGGCTTGGAAAGATTAACTAATTTAAACCCAAAGTTACAGTTAAGTAGCAGGACGGCTGATAGGCTCTTTTCCTATTCTTCAATTCCTACTGCCTCCTAAAACTGTTTTCTTTCACTATTAGAAAATGAAGTAAAGCTGATGGAAATACTTTTCATATACCTAATTATCCTCACCAAGATTCTTCTTATATTTTTCGGTCAGAGGGGAAGATTTAAATATTTACAACTAAATATCAAGTACCTTTAGGCAAAATGCACAAGGTGTCTTCAAAACCCAGGAAGAGGTTCACGAGGGTGGCTCATTTGTTAAGCATCTGCCTTTGGCTCCATTTATAATCCCAGGGTCCTGGGATAGGGTCCTGGGATGGAGTCCCGCATCGGGCTTCCTGCCTCTGGGGAAGCCTGCTTCTCCCTCTCCCACTCCCCCTGCTTGTGTTCCTTCTCTCGCTTTGTCTCTCTCTGCCAAATAAATAAATAAAACCTTAAAAAAAAAAAAAAAACAGGAACAGAAAAATCACAAAACTACTTTCCCTGGTACCTTTTTTGTAATATATGTAATATATTTGAAACTTTTAGAATATGTCACAAATAAAATCTCTAACTTATGAAATAATTTCTAGCTCTAGCAAAAACTTCTATTTTTTTTTCTTCAACTGATATTTTCCATCACTTAAACACTATATTATACCCATGATTTTTATGAGGTACAATGGTATCCTCTTTACTACTTAGTCGGCAAAGTGCCTACTCAGTAAAATGCAAAAAAGTGATTTTAGAACATTCGCTGTTGAAATCAACCTTTTTTTTTTTTTTTTTTTTGCCAGTGAAACCACAATTGAGACTTAAATCCCTGTTTGGAGACTTCTGATATACAAATAATTCATAATTTCTTAAAAATTATTAAACAAAAGAAGGCAAAGTGGTTGTGCACTGACTATGCTCTAATACCTAAAATGTAATAAAAATAATGAAATAGTATTTAGACTATCTAATCTTAATTATTTAAAACGATCACTTACATTAAGCGAAAATGGTAGCTTACAAACAATAACTAAAGTCAGATATAAAACGTAAAATTTACACATGTCATGTATATTTCTTAAACGTGTAAAAACGTAACACATTTCAAAGAATAGTCGTGGGATGTTTCTAGGTTATTTTTAATGCATCAGATTTATTTGCCAATTTAAAGGATCACTTATAGGCAGATATTCTAAAATTTCCTGGGGGTAAACAAATCAATATATATTAGATGTTTAAGGACTGGAGCAGGGAGCAGACATAGAGTTCCTAAGTAATAAATATTACCTTTTTAATAAAAAGGTGGTACTTTATAAGATAGCCAAGTAACACTGACTCATAAAAGCATATGTTGACCACATAAGAGATATTGGCTGGAGGTTTTAGGGGACTGAAGAATGAACAACAAATTCAAACAACTCAAAATGCATTATTCATTCCTCAAAGAACCAAAACAGGAAGAAAAAAAAATAGAAGAAGTCCTCACAACACCCTGAAAAGTTCAGGCATTAGGAAGTGTTGACTGGCACCCATTTCTTGCTGTTGTAAAACCCGCCCCTCCGTTTCTAGGCCTCAACCCATGGAAACCAGCAGGGGAAAGAGGCAGGTGCTCCGCACTATGGCGGATCCAGAGGGCCCGTCAAGCTCTCAACCTCAGCCGACCCACGCCAAGCCCCCCTGGGAGGTGCCTGGCGGGAGGCGGAGGGCGCAGTGGTCCAGTCCTGCGGCGGACGGCCCAGGGCGTTGCTAGATGGGGGAGCGGCGAGCGGAGAAGGAGGGGCCGCGCGAGGCCCCGCCTCTCCCCGGCCGCGGCCTCGGGCTACAGCCAGGGCTCGGAGGGCTCTGAGTCCGGGGCGCGCAGGCCTGACTCGGGTGCGCGCAAAGGCGGCTCATCCTTGTCGCCACGCGGGCGCGGCCCCCGCTGCTCAAGGTGCAGCTGCAGCAGGGCCCGGCGGTACATGGCCTCCAGCTTCTCGAGCCGGGCCCTCAGGGCCCTGGGGCTGCCTGGCTCGTCCTCGAGGCCGCCGCCTCTCGCCCTCCGGTTCGTGCTGGCCTCCTCGGGGCCTGGGGTGGCCCTGGCCGCCTCCGCGACCCCCCCGTCGCCAGCCTCGCCGGGAAGGCGCAAAGCCTGACGGAAGAGACTGCGGTTCTCGCGCTTCAGCCGCCGGTTTTCAAGCCGCAGCCGGGCGTTCTCTTCGCGCAGCCGCGCGTTCTGACGGTCCCGCTCGTCCCGCGCGCGGATGGCCTCCAGGTGGCTCGCAGCCAGGTCCGCGAACCGCTCCTCCAGCTGCTGTCGGGCACCGCCCGCACGGCCTCGCCAGCCCACGCCGCCGCCGATGCCGCCACCCCCACGAGCCCGGCCGGGACGGCCCTGCCCGCGGCTGTCCCCACCGCCGTCCCCACCGCCGCAGCTCCCGCGCCTTGTGGCGCCAGCACGCATGCGCCACATCGGTCCTGTCCCTACCGCGCCGCCAGCGCCGTGGGCCGAGGGGCCGGCGCTGAGGCGCGGACGACTTCGGGGCCCGGCGGGGCGGCCGGGGCCACAGCGGAGGAGGAGAAGAGGTGGCGGGCGGCGGCTGCTGGCTTGGGGCCAGAGGGGGCCGGGAATTTGCCGGTCTGAGGCGTGTCTTGTCTCCTGTGGTGGAGCTCCCCCCCTGGGCCTGCGATCTGCGGCCAGCTCACACACAATGCCCCCGGGGAGCGCTTTGCTGCTCAGCCCTCCGGCAGAGGCGGGGTGGCGGGGGGGGGGGGAAGCGTGTATCCTCAGCTGGGTTCTGCCGGGCGCTTCCGTGCAGGCCTGGGCACTGCAGGAACCAGCCGGCCTCACCCTGCACCCCGGCGCAACCACCAGTGGTTACCTTTCTCCTTACACAACTCAAAGCAAATAAGAATAATAAAATAGTAAGTTCTGAGACAGATATGTGGGCAAGGTGAAAAGCTGTAACTGCTTCCTTTAGAACCGTACGGTTTAAACCCACCTCTAAGCTCAATAAAGCATTAGAATTGAGTACCTGTCGTAAGGGCCTCAAATGGGAACAGGCGTCTCTCAAAACAATATAGGCAAGTCCCAATTTGTGAATAACTAGTGCTCCACTGTGCAAATTGTTTGCAACTCTGTAGAAACTTGGTTATAACTAGTTGTTTTGCTCAAGCGGGTCCACAAACCTATGAAACTCAAAATGTGCTCAAGAATTCAAGAAACTTTGAGTACTAAGTAAGTTCCAAAATTTCTGGTGACAGGTGGATACAACTCAATGAATCACATTCCTTATTTTTAAGGGATTCAACTTTTAGAATAACTGGATTTTTGCAAAGTAAATTAAGGAAAAGATGATGATGCCAGAGATTGTTGGGGGAGAATGGTGGTAGCAAGAATATTTTTAACAAGGTTCCAGAAAAGAGAGAAAAGGTCAGAATAGGAGAGGAAAGGAAAAAATATGTATATATAGGGGGATGATCCAACCAAAAGCTATCAAAAATGGCCATGGAAGTTATCTGTGCATAGCAATGAACATTCACCTTATGGTTAATGGAGATGCCACTAATCTTTCAAATAGGAGGTAGAAACGATGGATATAATTTCTAAGTTGAAAGAGGATTTGAAACAACAGAATTACTAAACTGATCACTGCCAAAATTACTGATTTGTATTTAAATATACTTACAATAATATGTCAAGAATTATATGCCATAAGATGAACATTACATTATTTCTAAATATAGCAGCACAAACTTAGTAAAACTGCTTCTATCCATTATTTTTGTCAGGAGTCTGCATATGAAAATATTATTGCAAAAATAAGATATGAAAATAAAATGAAAAAAAACCTTGATAGAGGAAAAATTATGGAACTGATAAAATTTAGAAGAAATATGGGGCTATAGTAATCCTTAAGAGAATATGGAGAACTATGTAAGCTCTTTTTTTTTAGATTATTTATTTGACAGAGACACAGTGAGAGAGGGAACACAAGCAGGGGGAGTGAAAGGGAGAAGCAGGCTTCCCGCTGAGCAGGGAGCCCGATGCGGGGCCTTATCCCAGGACCCTGGGACCATGACCTGAGCTGAAGGCAGACACTTAAGGACTGAGCCACCCAGGCGCCCCTGTAAGTGCTTAATTAGAAAAAAAATATAATACTCACCTGTGCTTTCTTTTAAGAATGGGAGTTTCTAAACAGTAAAATTATTTGCTTGCTAAATAGGAAAAAGTCTCAAAGGACATAGATTGTTCTTTCCTGACTTAACATGCATTGTCCTTTAAGCCACTTACTCAAGAGAAAGAGGTAAGAATTCTCTTTTAATAAATTTGACAGTTTTATAAATTAAAAAGTAAAATATACCCACCATGGATGGGGCTGGCAGGGCCCCCGGTGTGGATCCTGACCAGAATTAAATTAATGACTGCCTTCCATTCAATAAAAATTAAAAAATAAAAAACAAAATAATATGAACTCCAAAGGGCCATTTGCACACTGTGTTTAGGAAACTCTAACCTTCACTAAGCTTATGAAATTTAGAATAAAAGAGCAGAAAAATGCAAATAAGTCATTTAGAGTATTTGATTTTGCTATTTCCCTGAAACTACTACTACTTCTTTTTTTAAGAGGATTTTTCTTATTTAGCTTTTTTGTTTCCTCCTCTATACGTTCAATGCCTACTCTCTAATTATTGAACAACTTAAATTTAATTTTAAAAAAGTATTCTCCCTCCTGTCTTAGGTAAGAAAAAAGATGAACAGATGAGGTTACGATCACTGTGCTTCTTAATGCAATGCTTTAAACCAACATTTTTGTAAATACTGTAGTTGAGAAAAGCTGGATCAGCAAATTGGAGTGGAGCTGCTTTTTGCCTTACAAGTCATGCATCTATTTCAGTATTTCTCAAAACCACTTCTGACTGACAGCTGTTGAGTTAATTGCCTCCTTTCTCCCATCCTCCAAAAATTTTTTTCTTTCCATACATGGTAGCTGTTATACATTTCTACATGCTTGCTTGAGAAAAAGGCCCTATGATATAGTTTGTTTCCTATATCCATAGTTTTCTAAGATCTTTTATTGTCATACTGTACTCATTGACTCTCATTTCTCCATTTTGAATCATGTTTCTTACAAAATGAGTCATGCAGTAAGGTAATTTATGGCACATTTACATTGGGACAAGTCATCCTATATCCAAAATCTCTGTTCCTTCCCTCCTTAAAACATCCTATAATATCTCACCAAATGAATTTTGGTTAACAACTTCATCAAGTTCAATTGTAAAACAATGTTGAACTCCTTAGCCTGGAAGTTATGGCTAATCTGGATGTGCTGGGTGTTTCTCTACTTACCTTCCCATTTTTACCCTGCTGGTCTAGTCACTCTGCTACCAAGAATCACTGAGTACTTCTGCCTTGGAGTTTTGTTATAATGTACCTTCTGTGGACTAAATTGTGTCCTCCCAAAATTCCTATGTCGAAGCACTAATTACTAATGTGATGGTGTTTGGAATGAGCCTTTAGGAGGTAATTTGGTTTAGGGGAGGTTATGAAGGTGAGGCTCTCATGATGAGTTAAGTGTCCGTTGAAGAAAAGACATCAGAAAACTTGATGTTCTCTCTCTCTCTCTCTTTCTGTCTCTGTCTCTGTCTCTGTCTCTGTCTCTCTCTCTCTGCTATATGAGTACACAGCCAGAAGGTAGCCATCTGCAAGCCAGGAAGAGATCACTCACTGGCGAACTGGATCAACCAGCACCTTGATCTTGGACTTCCCAGCCTCCAGAACTATGGAAAATAAATTCCTGTTGTCTATACAGTACCTTTTTTTCTCTCCTCACATATCTGGATTGTAAAGAATCCACCAAGACAGAGTTTATACTCTACCATTTATACATGAGTTTATATTCATACCATTTATCTTAGATCCCCTGAATTCAAAGTATTTTTCCCCTCTTTTAAACATTGATAAAGTAGTGCCTGTTCTGGTAATTTGATGCTGAGGTCCTTCCCTGTGTTAACATTTCTTGTGCAAGTGGATCTGCAAACAGGATGTGAGTTCCTAAATATATCTATTTATATAGAGAGAGAGAGGGAGAGAAAGAATGTGAGTGAGTGATACAAATATTTCTTGAATGACTAGGATGTTGAACAAATTTATGACTTATTTTCTTAATAATCTTAAAGGAAGATTTTACCAAGTAGAACTGCTAACCATTTAATAGTCAATAAAGTTAACCTATATTATCTAGCAGACTGAGCTAACAGAAACTCACAAAGAAAGATCTATAGCATGCTGGAATTATTCAGACTGAAACAAGAAGAAGGTTGGCACTGCCTTGTTAATGACTTGTCTTAATATATCATGGGTCTTGGGGGTGCTTGGGTGGCTTAGTTGGTGGAGCATCTGACTCTTGGTTTCAGCTCAGATCATGATCTCGGGGTTGTGAGATCGAGCCCCCTGACAGGCTCCGGGCTCAGCAGGGAGTTTGTTTGAGATTCTCTTCTTCACCCTCTCCCTCTGCCCCTCCCCTGTGCTCTCACTCTCTCTCTCTCTCTCTGAAATAAATAAATCTTTTAGAAAATATATAGTGGGTCTTTATAACATAGATTTTTAAATAGGTAATAAATAAGAAGTATGGGTTTTGGACTTAGACATACCTGGATTTGATAAATATTATAACTCTCCCACCCCAGAGTATTGGCCTTGGACAGCCTCCTAACAACAGTTTCCTCAAAGCCACAGCGTCCTCATTTATACAATGAGAATAAAATAGTATCTAACTCATGGGGTTCTTGTGAAGATCTCTGAATATCTTAAAATAGAGTCAGCCAGCAAGAAATACTCATAACAGTTGATACTATTATTTTGTAGTTGTTTTATTTTATGAGATAGCCATTTATAAAATGAGTTCTCCTGAATAGCCAGTGCTATTTAAAAATCCTCATTTGAGCTATTTGCTGAAGGAGCCACCCTAAATATAATATGCAGCCCCTTTGCAGATATGATTCTTCTTTCTTGATAGTTCTCATTAAGTGTTTGGGTTTTAAAAATCCATATTTTGTAAGCCCCATGTGCTGAAGACTTTGGTTAATAACATTCTGAGCTTGGTGTTTGCTAATATTCTCTCTAAAGCCCAAGCTGAACATGGTTTATTTTCTAGGAGCAGATTTATTAGGGCAATGAAGAACATGTATTGATGCTTGGTAGCATGAATATCTCTTTATTGGAATAATTACTACAGAGTTAGGAATTGGGAATATCGATTGCATTTATTTAGTCTTTTGATATGGACAAAAATATTAAAAGCCATCAAACACTAGCATTGCCCTTTGACAGCATCATTTAATTCTAGCTACAGGGAAAATTGTGACATAAACAAAAGCTGCATGACTTATCTGTCTTAATTAGGATACTTTCTACAGTGGGGGAAACACCCTCTTTCCTTCAAATATTATAAAAAGCACTAGCCAGAT